TGAGCAATATTGGTTGGATAATGAACTGATAGCTGTTGGAGTAATTGACATTCTGCCTTCATGTATCTCAAGCGTGTATTTCTTTTATGATCCAGCATACAGTCAACTTTCTCTCGGAACTTTTAGGTTTGTAATTCTCAGGATATAAATATATTTCTTTTTGGATGTCTAAGATTCTTATAATACAACAACACTTATGATTCTTATGATACAACTAAATTAGTGAATCAGTTATAATTTTAATATAAACATAAATAAAAATATAAATTTCTAATATAAACATATTTTTTGGTTCTAGTTCTCTTCGAGAAATTTATCTAACGAGACAGCTTAACAAAGTCGCGAGTAATTTGAGATATTATTATATGGGCTTTTATATTCATTCGTGTCCGAAAATGCGATACAAAGCTAAAATGCGGCCGTCGAAGCTTCTATGTCCAGAAACATATGTATGGTGCGATATTGAACCTAGTCTAGCTAAATTGAACAACGATAAGTATAGTCGTCTGAACGATGATATCGATGCTATCGACGAGGATGGCGTAGTCAATATTGAAGAGGTATTTTCGTGATAATTTTCTGAGCAATTGTTCATCTATAGAAATTTCTCTTCTTTAGGTATTGATACTACATAAGAATATCGCAATGCCATATAAGAAATACAGATTACAACGAACAACGCGGGAAGAAAAACGCGAGGTGAAGGAATATGCCAGCCTCGTTGGAATGCCATGTGCACGAGAGATGTTGCTCTTGCGCTATTCTAGAGAATAATTAGTTAATATAAAACCGATGAATAAAAAATTATCTCAAGGACCTTTGCATCGAACAACGCTTTGGTTACTTAAGAAACTAAGATAATGACTAATGTTAATGTACAAAGAATTTCATGTATATTAAATTATTATTATTAGAAAACTATTATTAAAAAATTGTTTTATAAATAACAAACTGTGATGCAAACGATTGAATTCTTTAGTAGAAAATATAAGATGCGCATAATAAATTATAAAGATATTTTTTAGTTTAGAACTGACACTAAGAAACGCAAAATCAAAAAATAAAATGACTATTTGTAAAGATTAATCAATCTAATTTTCTTTTCATAAGTTCTTTTCTTAAAAAATTCAATTATAAAAATTATATTTAATATTATACGCTTTATTTTCTTGTGATTTTAATGTCATCCGATATGCATATCAGTTGATTGCGAAGATTGAACGAGATAAAAGTAATTATAACTCTTTATTTATTATAGTGATCATGATAAATAAACAAAGAAGTTTAATAAAACAATGTCAAATGTGAATGAAAATAATTAAATAACGAGTATGAAGCTATGTAACGATTAAGGAGTAATCTAATTATGTATTTTTTTAAGTTTCTTGATCTCTCAGATGTTTCTAAATTTTTTTATTTTTGTCAGACATTCTTCAAACAGTCATGCTTTAAATAGTTTTTAAAAAATCTAATTTTTCAAATATTCCTCAATCGTTTTAATTTTATCAGATCTTCCTTAGGAATATTCTATTTTTTTCAGTCTTTTTCGAATGTTTCTTCCATTCCTATATTGTTTGAACATTTTTGTCAATTAAATTTTTATCGCGTTGTTCACGACATGTCATTGCTAAATGATGAGTTGGAGCCTCTCAGAATCGTTTAAACTTTCGTAGTAAAGTCGATAGGCTCCATACCAGTTTGCCCAGCCTCCACGTCATTTGACCTTTCAAGTGGTCGAAACTCGTTCCACTTTTGTATTTCACCGCTACCTCCGAATAAGAACACAATCATACTCCCGATACACACCGTGGCACCGATCCAAAAAAGTATTTGCCATCTGTCGATTGGATTCTGATACAAAAAAATGGATTTATATTAAAATCTACATTTATTTAAAGGATTGCGTAATAATTGAAGATTGAAGAATGAGCAAGTCAAGATATGATTCGCAGATGAAAAAATCAAAGAGGAAAGCACAATCGTCGCGACAATATTTTCCGCTCCTCATGCAAGACTTCCGCTTACGTAACGTTACCGTCTCTTTTCGGAGAATCACGTTGAGGATTGCAATTGAATCGCGTGACCAAGATTGTTGTTGTTAAAGAAGTGTCAACGGATATTTTAGGTGCGGAGAATCACTCGCGCTTGACCATTAATGTCATGCATTTGTTATGCAACAAGATTACAGATAAAGAATAACAACTTGAAAATGTTAAAGATCTTGAAAACTGTTATTCGTGCGATTATGCGAGTTATACAATTAAATTGCAGGTGAATAGTTTACATAAATAATTACAACAGATAATAATATTGCAGATGATTGCCAAAAGATCAGCGTTATGAAAGAAAGTAACAATTTGACCTTCTTCAATTATGAATAACAATGATTTTTATTTAATTCAGAAAAAATCAATATTTTTATATTGAAATAATAATTACCCCAAATTTGCCGGCTATTTCTTCAACCATTGGCGGAATAATCATGCCGGAAGAAACACCAACACAATTCATGATGCCGTACAGAAAACCAGCAAAATTTGGCGAGAGATCCTGATTATTTGATAGATTCGAAATCAAGGCAGCACCGTTGAAGCCTAATGCCAGGCACAGGAAGACATTCGCGAGTATGAAGTCGCAGCCAACATAACCGACTAGTATTAAGAAGACACCCGGTAGAAAATGTGCTGAAAAAATTTTAGTTTTGATTAACATCCCAGTAATTAAAAACGAAATTTTAATCTCAATATATTTGATCTGAATTTCTATTTGTATAAATGTTGATAATAAGATCAACGACAGTATTGACAATTTGCGGATTAATTGGAGAGTTTGTAAGTTGATTCAAAATTTGAATGAAATAAAGCTTTGCGCTGTTCTATGCGATATGCTTACAGAATATAGTCGCGAGCTTGCGCAAGAGCGTGACAGAGATGATCTGCTTTCTCTTAATAGTATCACCCGCCCAGCTAAAAAAAATCCGAACACCATCCTGATTCCCCATGGCGCGCCAGCCGCGGCGCCGCCTCTCGTCAATTTGAATCCCAGCGCCTTGGTCAGATACAGCATGAGCGAACTTTGGTAAAAGAACAGCAAGAAGAGATTCCCAAAATGGCAGACAATCAAGCTAAGAAATGGCACCGATGTCAAAATCTGCTTTATCGGAGTTTGTTTCCATTGTGGCTTTTCGGTACGTACGATTCCAGCTTGAGCTCTATAAACATTGCATTAATCATTAAATCGGTCTGACTCCAAAAGAAGAATTCAATCAATCCAGTGACTCACGTTTTAATGTAGCTCCTCTCTTCGGTGGAGATGCCCGGATGTTCGTCCGGTGAATCGTAGGCTATCAATGCCCATATAATGATCCATATCATCATCAGTACGGATGGCACATACCAGCCAGATTCCCAGTTTATGCTCTCCGCGATACCAGCTATCATTGGATAGCTCAGTATCGTGCCGAACGTGCCACCCAGCAAGGACCAAATAAAGCGCGCCCGTTCATGCGGTGGTGCCCACTTCGCTACCAGGGTGTGACACGCGGGAAAGGTGATGCCACCGGTGACACCAACGATGATTCTGGAAACCAGTAACAAGCCCCAGTGGCATTGTGCTAGAAGTGGGCTGATCAGTGAGACCACCGCGGCTAGGATCGACGTCCAAAGAACCGCGTGGCGCGGTCCGTATCTCAGTGATAACCATCCGCCGACGAAATTGCCGGGCACGTTGCCGTAGGCGTAGCTAGCTATTAGTTGGCCTCGCACTGTCGGGGTCCAATCAAAGGGTAACCCACTGAAAAATGTGTAGGGCTCGTCGTCGTCCTGCGCTTGGCGACGTGTCAGCGTATGCAATTTTTCATCCGATCCTTCTCTCCGTTCCCTCTCTTCTTGCACCTGATTCATAATATACCAGTCTAAGGAAGAAGGATCGAGCGGATTAATGCTGCGGCGTTGTCGGGCATCATCGAACACGCATACGCCGTCCGTGTGGTTGATCGGTACATCCTTGATCATCGGCACCACCAGAATTGGCATCTGTAGGCGACACCCATAGTTGGTCCAGCAACACGTGAACATCATTAGGCAGATCCAGATACGTATCGGCATCCATCCTGCGAAAAAAAAGAAAAGGAATTAATTTTCTTCAATTGTGAAAATACTAAAAACGTAAATTATTTTAATGTTCACTGTTAATAAATGTATTGGAATTAATTTTAGATTATTGATAGGTGATTATTTAAAAAAAATTTAATTAATATCTTTAAAGTTATTAAATATAAATTTTTACATTTATCCTTTCTAAGATTTCAAAATAATGACTTCCATCGGGACAAAAGAGGGTTGAAGAAGTTAAATAAAAACATGCGGAGAGAGAAAGACATATATCTTTTTTTAATGATATCGTTAACATTGTTTCAGCTTGTAGAATATAAAAAAGTTACGATTTCTGAAATAGGACACTGGAAAATCTATATCTATAAACAGAGATGTTAAATATTATCAAACTATTAAAAAACTATCAAATATTTATCTTTTTATTTTTGTGACCTTTTATTTTAATGTATTTCACATTACATTTAGAATGTTATCTCAAAAAAATTTGGGACAAGAAACAGGGAAATAATCTGCTTTAGTCTTTTTAGTTTTAGTAAATAAATAAATGATCGCTATATCTCTTTTAACGTTTTATCGTGATTACTTCCGTCGCGCGATCGGCACTTACGTAAAAATGTCCAGAAAAACGGTGGTGAAGTCTCGTCCACGTTTTCGCGCAACGCCCGCATTTAGAAATGCTCGGAGAGGAAGCGCAAAAATTTCCAGCCGAATGACAGAATCATTGCTATGCCAACTAGATTTGCGAATGCATCAATTTTTTTCGCAGATTATGAATCATTTACGTCATTGTATTTTCAATTCTGTTGATATGTTCAGCTTATTGAAACCGTGTCACACTTTTCCATGTGAAGAAGAGATTTTTTTAAGAGATTTTTAAGAGATTCTAATTACATGACTAATTACACAAGCTCTTTCTAAATGAGGTATATACAGATTTATTGTAAAAATTTGTGATGTTTTAAATATTTGCGACAAAAAAATTGTCTGAAAAAAATTGTAAACAAAACTTTACCTGCTTCATGTAACTTATGATATAAAAAAATTAGAAATATTTTTTTATATAATTATTTAAATTTTTTAAACTTTACAAATAGTATCATACGAATCATTTTTCTTATAATATTGGAAGAAACTTAACGAAGTCAACGCTTATTTACCAGAAATATCATTTTCACTTTATAACATCAAAGGAAAAGCTGCAGCTTATGTAAGCTGATATTTAAATTGTATTTTCTGTAACAAAAAGTTCTGATTTTTTTCTACAAATTACTATGTGTTGCAGCTATTTGCCATTTGGATTCAAAATTGGAATAATGATTTAATTATCAACGTAATTATTTTTCTTGAAGCTCTCGAATATTATTCAGAATTTTCTTAAACAAGTGATGAGCCATATTATGAATTTTAAACGTATTTCGTTAATTAGTCATAAATGTTGTATTTAAGTCAACTTAAAATGATATTTTTTTTTAACATTCCACTTCTAACTAATACATTTTGTTTCATCAGCAACAACACAAATCGGCAGCACGTATGTAAATTTACGTAAAATTAATCCAATAATAACCAATAATATTTGATCAGTTTAAATATTTTATAACAAAAGTAAAACGATTTCATTTTTTTAAAGTAATTTGCACAAAACAGATAAAGTTTGTAACTTCTTTTTGGATTATCGCGCATATCTAAAAAATTGCAGTTGTACCATTATAGTCCACATCTGATATGCGGATATTCATTATCGTAAAAATATGCAAAATATCTGTTTTAAATGTCAAATATCTGTTTTAAAATAATATTTCAAGTATTTTTTGCAGATATTTCGGATTTACAATCCAAATAAAGTTACAAAATTTTATATAATGTTTTTACAGCCACTCATGCGTTCGTAAAGGTTACTATTTCATAATAGAAATGAAAACCGTTAAAAAGGTTACTGAAAGTTACTGAAAGTTCATAATATTCTTTGAATATTTGTTGTACGAATATATTGGTTATATTTTCCAAGCAAAAAATTCAAATTTTTAGTTAGTAACGATATTATCCAACACGCGAACACGATCACTTTTTGCGATATTTACTTTATTAGAATTATTATTTATGTTATATCATGATTTATTATATCTACGTATTTATATTCGATGATGTAATTGTCATATTTTATTCATCATTGTTAAGATTTAATAGAAACTTGGTAATTCAACAACGCGCATGTGAAAGAAACTTTGCAAGTTTTAAGAAAAATAAATAAATCATAAACATGAATAAATAATAAAAAAGGAATTAAAATTTCGCTGATTTATTCTTATTTGATTTAAATAATTGGATTTAAATGATGGTTAAAAGAATTACTGAGCTTTAGCACGATTACTGAGTTTCAATTTTTTTTTCAAATTTAATTTTTCAAATTAACGGCAAATCTGAGACTTTTGAAAAAAATCTGGCGATTAGGCGATTAATGCAGATTTGCACGGTTTTCTTTATATGCAACAAGGTTGAGTAACGGACTATTCAGAAACGGTGTCAAAAATGCGGAAAGTAAAAGGAAACTTACAGGGGAAATTTTTCCACTCACTTAGGATCGAACACGTGATTGATAGAAATAGAGATTTGCAAGTTTTATCTTAAAACTATCAAATATTTTTACTTTTATAATAACGCAGAAGATACTGAGTTTTATTTTATTCGGAACAAGGTAAATTTTGCATTTAGATCTAATAATCTGAGAAATATTATTTCACATTGCGTCACCGTGTCACCATTATTAAACAAAAATAAAAATATTGAATCTAAAGGACAAAGTATTCAGTCTCAAATTTTGCACATATGGGTATAATTTATATAAGTTGTTTGTAAAAGAGCAGAATTTGACTTACGTGATAATATTCGACAGAATTGCGATTGAAACTTTTGGAGCTTCATATTACAGCTTCAATTTAATAAACTGGCAAATTCAAAGTGATACAATAGGACAAACACAGCATTCTCGACGATTTCCTGCACGTCGGTCATCACTGTTTGAATGTCGCTCGTCGTCTAGCTCCGCAAAATTGTGATTGACTATGGAGGTAGCCTATTTATACCCCCACCCAGGTAACAAAAGAGCCTACTCTCAAAAGTATGGGGAGAATTTGAAAAAAAAGTAGGAGAAAATAATATGTTTATTGTTAGAAAGTTTATCGAGTGGTCGACAATGAAAGTCTGTCCCTTTCGAAGGAGCTTTTGTAAAACGAATATGATTTCGATATTGAATTCGATATTGAAGTCTCTTTTAAGAAACTGCTGTTCGATTTTCATATTTCCTTAAAATATTTAAGAACCAGATAAAATATGATTATATAAAAATACAACCAAGGATAGAAATTATTATTTAACAGGCGCAAATAAATTGTGTATATATCAAATGTTTCCGAAATTGTAATAATAATTTTATTATAATAAATATTGTAAAAAAAAAATGGTTTGAGAGAACGTTTGTCCTACGTCTAATGTCCTATACGTGTGGCACGTTTAGTGTTATCGACCGATTATGCAAACGTAAATTGTGCGTGCGAACATTAAGCTTTTATCTGCAAGGATGGCAAGCCGATTTACATGCATTCTATTGTATTTTATATATGACGTACTTAAACGTGGACTATAGAGACCTTGACCTGATGCGATGATTTTTATTTCCAACAAAAGCTAATATAGATATCAAAAAATTCGTTTACATTTAATTTAATAAATGAATTAATTTGAATTTTAATCGAATTTATATTCTAAAACAATAGAAATGTGTTCTCGAATTTTTTTATCAGAGTATCAAAATTCACAAATTTTTATCTCATATTTCATTCGAGTATAAAATACGAAATATTTAAATTTTAGACAAAAGTAATGTGCTAAAGTATTTTGTTTTATATTGTTTCAGTTAGAAACAGAAGTTTTGGAAACTTCTTTTGCCTTGTTTTGGTTGAAAGTTGAAAGAGAGGAAGAAGAGCTTTGGCTTTGGAAGTATAGCAGGCCTAATACAAATGAGTAAGCATATCTAATAAAACAGAAGGTCAATTGCAATAATATTTTTTCAAAAGGGAAACTTATAATACTTTATTTTATTGTAATGACATATCTTCCTTTCTCGTTTTTCGTTCAATGTTGCGTATCGATTTAGACTACAGATGGAAGAAACGAAAATATAAATTTCTTCAGACTATATTTTATTAATAAAATATACTTTAATGACACAAGGAATATTATTTTTTAGGATACATTGTAATTTATTATGCATCGTTTCACCATTTCACTCTCGTGATAATGATATTCGCGTTACGAGCCATTTCGTATTTCGCTTTCTACCGGCTTTCTACTCGTCGGTATAATTTCGTTTATTCGCAATTTACATCATTAATTGCCGAAATTTTCTAACAAATAATTTAAAAAAAGTATCCTTCGAATTCTACATTCAAGTAACAAATTGAAAGAAACGGGATCATACACATATAAATCCCATAAATTTTTTTATTTTTCAGACACCATTCTGAATATATATTTTATCTAATATTTTTATTTTATAACATTAGATTGCTTATTATTATAATTTATAATAATATTAGATTGCTTGTCATTATAATAATTTATAATTATACAATTTATAAATTATCATTATTATAATTTTCAATTTATTATTCGCTTATTTTAATAAATACATCTTTCAGGACGACTTGAAAATCGCTTGAGATTTTTTTATAAGGATTGAATTTGTTTGCGCTGATATTAAAGATATTTATATTTGTACAGAATGTTATCAGCTTTACGACTGAATTTATTATGAGCATAGGTACAACGGTCGCGACGATTAGTCGCTACTTGTGAACGAGTGAGGAATGAGTTAACGTTCCTGGCGAACAATATCACGTACATTTTTCCCGTTTAATCCTGTGCGTGCCCAAAGGAGGAAAAAGGGTGTTAAAATGAAGAATGGAAATCTAATCTTAGCGGAAGCCCTGAAGGAGCAGGTAATCGATATTTCTTTTTTCTGCGTAATATCTTTTATCGCCGTTATTTAACAATAGTCAATATAAAATCAATCTCCGAACCGTTTGGAATTCCTGTCTGGAATTTTCACACTTTGTCCTTCAGGGAGGTTCCTGTAAAATCCTTTGTGGACTGTCAGTTCAAAAAATCTCTCGAACTTTGATTCGAATATCGTTTAGTAAAAAAACAAAATGACATTGCGCAACGATTTGAAGGTTATGATCACCGATGCTCACGTGACTTACATTTCTCGCTTATCATCTCATAATTTCTCTGTACACCGAGTTTTATCGTCGGATAAAATCATCGGTTTTTTTCTACGGATCAATGACTCTTAACGTTTGTTCTATTTCTGTAATTCTTAAAGTGTTAATTAAATTCTTGTAATTTTTATCTCGTATTTTTAATTAATTTTTTAAGTTACAACTTTTTTCTAATAAGAAAGAGCAGATGCTTACAATGATATGTAATAATTTGTAATAAAAATAAACCGGGCACATAACGCATAAAGAAAAGCAATAAACACTTCGTGCAAAAGAGAAACATAAATTTGTTCTTATCGGAGAAACAATAATTTATATTTTTTTGCACAAGCAAAAGATCCGACACGCTCGAAAAGTCGAAATGATGATACGATTTGACTTAACAATCACTAACAACGGATGTCGGAGCGAGTCAAGGATAAGACTAATTTCGTTTATTGCAACTCGGATATTTCGTATCCGTGGCGCGACACAAGCGATCTCTCGAAGTGTGTTCTTATCACAAATGAAATTTGTTCACGTGCAGCGAATGCGGTTCGGCTCTTATCGCGATCGAACAATTAACACTCACGTTTTCGTGGCGGTGCAATTAACGGCGTACGCTCGTTATACTCTTGATCCATAGTCGAATATTGATTGAGCTGACCACAATTTATTGTACGAGGATGTCGAGACAGCGAGATATCATTTTCATTCCGCGCGAGTTCATCGGGGGCCATGCATTATCAATGCACTGATAAACGTACATTACATACACCATGTCTTTCTAGAGAAAATAAACACGCAAGAAAGGGATAAGAAATTAGAGTAAATGAAATTACAGATGAGAATGGAGATTTCTCTCTGATGTAAATTTCCTTCCAAACGCCGTTCATTCGCTTTCATTCTTATCCTATTTTGAAATTTTCAAAAAAAATCAGATTTTTTTTGCTTCAAGAAATAGTTTGTAGTCTCATAATGTATAAAAGATCCCGAGTGGATACTCGAAATAATCTTCGAGTTGTAGCGTTTGAAATAGACTCGTTTGCCACGCGCAGAAAGAGGCTCAAATGGACCGAGTAATATAATAGAATACTATGTAAGTTGGATTGTATAGAAATACTCAATTTTTCTCGTTTTTTTCGAGAATAATAGGGAGAAAAAAAAAGTGCAAGTGCAAAAGAGAAAAATCCATTTTATGAAGCAGATGTGTCATCAATGATGAGTCATCAAATGTTAAAAATATCACGATATCACGATATCAATTAGTTGAACTTTAAACGCATTTTTCTTGAAACTATATTCTTCAAAATGATACATGATTTCTCAGATTGTAATCAACGAATTGATTTGAAATTTAAAACATATATTCAAGAGTAGTTTTCGTTTGACCCACGATTTTATTGATATTTTTAAAATTTTTAAATTGCAAAATTTATATTTTGCAAATTAATTATATGTTATTATTAACATAATAGCAAAAAACACGAGGCAAACATTTAAATTTTATGTTTTTGTCAATTTTAAAAAAATGGAGAAAAACTCGGCCAGATGATAAACATTATAATTTATTAAGCTAGTTCCAGTTTTTTGTTTCAAAATAATGGCGGAATCATGTATACCATGTTTTCTGGCGCATGTAGATTGTTATATGTCTACAAAAGATAATATTTTTTTAATAAAATTTACAATATAAGTAATTAAAGATATGCCAAATTGGAAATGGATCGTATTTATACCGCAATTTAGGACCAAAGAATCTCCATTTTTTTAAGTTGGTCACAGTAGAATAATCTTTTAACGCATTAGCAAACATAGAATATACACAAAAATATAAGATCCACAAATGCGAAATATCTAATGTTTTTATAATGTTTAATTATGCGCGAGAATTCACAATTGTACTCAAGTTACTTCGAGATTAATTAATATTTTCTTACGCTGTATTATATATAATATATTGCGATTTATACAGGGCCTAACTTATGTCTTTGGCATTATGGGACACCCTGTGATCGACTTAGCTCTAACTATGCAAGCCGTTGGTATGCAATATCTGGGTTTTAGAAACGAGCAAGCCGCCTGTTACGCCGCGCAAGCTTATGGATATTTAACGAGTAAGCAATCTTTTTTAATAAATATATATATATATACACACACACACACACACACACACACACACACATATATATC